CTTATCCACCTCGTTTGAATGCTGTTCGAAGGGCTAATGGTGGTCATACTATTAAATCGTGTCAATAAACTCAGTTTTTGATGGGCTTTCGAATGGTGTATGAATTATTTGTGTTGTTATTACAAGTGTTGCTGTGACCCCCTAGGAAAAGGTTATGCCCCGCCCTGTACATAAAAGATAGAAAGAAAGAACACAGCATGTTTTTTTTTTCTGGGGGAGACAGTTTGCTATGGTGCTTTGAAGATACCAGGATAGAAACTAGGAGGCTGTGAGTTCCAATCTTCCTCAGGCATGTAGCCAGCTTGATGTTCTTGGGCCAGCTGCTCTCTCTCAGCCCTAGAAAGAAGGTAATGGCAAATCACTTCTCAAAACCTTCCAAAACAAAACAAGCACCGCCCTGGAATGAAAGACATAACATAAATGTAAAGGAATGTGTAAGTTAAATTGGGTAAAACACATATTTTGGAATGAAGTAACAGACAAATTATTTAAATTAGGATTCAAAATTCTACAGAGAGATATAGCACTGGTAGTATTGAGTAATATTTGTGTGTGTGTCTGTGTGTCTGTGTGTCTGTGTGTGTTCATTCCAGCATAATTCAGGAACACCTCAAGCAATTTCAATTACATAGATGACTTACTCTCTGGAGAAAAATACTGTGGGGGTAAGACACCCCTCAGGGTGTGTGTTCTGTTATGATACAGCCTATTGTGCCTTTAAATGCCTTCTACTGTACTGCCGTAAAATAACTTCTACTGTACAGTGCAGTGGAGTTGCCGTGGTAACAGCTTCACAGTACTCCACAAGGGAGCTCCATCTGGTAAGGCGGAAATTCCGATATTAGAAATTACATTTTGTCCGGACATTTTCCCCCTATAAATAAATACCCGGGCAATGCTGGGCTATCAACTAGTGTAAAAATAAAAGATTTCGTGTCAGGACAGAAAGATCTTAGCTATAGACCAGAGGTTTCCAAACTTGGCAATTTTAAGACTTGTGGACTTCAACTTCTAGAATTCAATTCTGGCTCCCAGAAGCTATGCTGGTTAAGGTATTCTAGGAGTTGAAGTCCACAGATCTTTAAAGTTGCCAAGTTTGGAGACTCCTGCTATAGACTACCTGCCCACCCACTCACCCCTTGATGAGAAATAAATTTCCTTACTTAGAACAGATATTGGATTGCATTCAATCATGGGAGCCAACATACCGCCCACGATGCTTACTCTTTGTGTAATTTATTCCCTATATTAATTTCTCCTTTATATCACTCCAGGAAAAGATATTCCATTCTCTTGCTAATCAAAAAGGAAATGTAGGATCCTTGCATTCTCTTTGTGGCTGTGGCTGAACTTGAGACTAACGAGATGATGAACTTGTACAGAAGATCCATGGCAACCCAGTCTTTGACAAAGAATAGTTGTGATTATATCCCAATGGAAAGAATAATAATGGTGTGAGCAAAGAGCATACGTGCCCATTACTTTAAACAACATTATCTTGGTCTAACAGGCTATTCCTGACATTTCAAATAATGGCGCTTCTGGAGAGAGGCAACAGCTGTTAGGGCCTCTTGCATATTCTTGTCCATAGCAACCTAAACCACTAGCTGTCACCTTGGTGCCTTGAAGCAAGATTCCTACTATTTTCTGAACTTCAAGGCTTCCAAATGTGCAGTCGCCACGTGGGCAGCCTCCATGCTAATATCAGCATGGCAGACAGTCTGCCTGGCTCTGTTGGATTTGCCCTCCTTGTTCGCAGTTTGAGATGGTGGTTTTTGTTTTTTAACTGCCTTCTGAAAGCAAACGGCAGCACTGCGTACATGGAGAAGCAGGAGCGTCTCCAGACTTCGAGGCAATCATTAGATAATCACCTCTCATTATTAAACTTTAATTTAAATTGTGTATTGACAAGAACAAACAAACTCGTATCAAAGGAGCCCCTGGCATTTTTCAGCACTTGATTAAATTTGAGGGTGTGGGGGTTGAAAGCCGTGTAGATTCTTTGACTTATTTCCTCTGAGTTTCCATCTTCTGGTTTTTCTCATTGCTGCAAGGAAATAATATGAATTATTGCTCAAGACCAGATCTTTCTTTTCAGACGGATTAAACTAGAAATATAGATTCAAGACTCTTTACCAGCTGCCCCCCATAGTGTGCCCCAAATTTATTCCTCATTGTTTCCCTTCCTCGTTAATCAGCAGGTTCATACATTTTCATCCTTAATTCTTCAAGTTTTCCAACTCTGGGTTCTCATGAGTAATAAGTATCTTGTCTATCCTATTGTCAATCCTTAGAAAACTGTCCCTACATATTTCATTGTGATACATAGCAGAATTTGCTAAATGTGAAGTTCAGGGGCTGTAAATAGAGGTTCAGGAGTATTTCTAGTAGAAAATGATTTGTGTGACATTAGTATTTGAACAATGTACATATTCCATTCCTATCATTGATATTCTAAAAAGAAGGAAAGTTGTTTTTCATTTTACATTTCCCTCTTCTCTTACTTTGGTGAGAAATTTTTGAAAGGGGAGGAGGGGAAGAGTTTTATAGCTCTGGTGGGACTATCATCATGGAAATTCCACAGAATGCAAAGAATGATCAAACAGGTAAAGGGAGTATATGAATTTGAAAATTCAAAGGTAGAGGTGGATGAAAATTGCCCAAAATAATTGTTCGTTGGTATAAAGCTACTTCAGAGCGATGCAACAAAGCAGTAGAACAATACCATGTTTCCCTGAAAATAAGACAGGGTCTTATTTACTTTTTACCCCTGAAATAAGCACTTGGCCTTATTTTTGGGGAGGTCTTATTATTTTTGTGGTGCAGGAGGCAACAAGCGTGGTCACCTCATGGCTGCTGCTGTGTTAGAATATTTTCAGGGAGGGCTTATTTTAGAGCATGCACTCAAAAGCCCAATTGGGCTTATTATCCAGAGAGATCTTACTTTCAGGGAAACAGGGTACTAGTCAGTTTAACATAATTCTATGTTCTCACCTAGAGTTGAGCTGCTTCAGAATGATTATATTACCCACTCTGAAATAATACTAGGATACTTTTATATAAAAATAGGGATATTATATTAGATGGACCTGTAACAGTGCACAGTGATTATTCCTCCCTTCCTTTATCCTCCCCTTCAATGCAAATACTATGGGATTATTTTTTTTAGCATATGCCACATGTTAGCCAGGGATCACCGATAATCCAGTCTGAAGGGAAATGATCAGCTTCTTTGTCAGGAATCAGAATCTTCTTGTCCTATAAAATATATTTGTCCAATGCATATATTAGATGCCTTGTAACCTAACTGCAGTTTGTACAATACAGCTTACAATATAAAACATACAATTTCATATCCATATAACCTACTGATAAAATTGAAAGTAAGTGTGAATCTTTTAAAGCGGTCAAATTTGAAAAGATAAATAGAAAGGTATTATAAACACTAAGTACTTAAAAGCCAAATGAAAGTAGGAAAAACAGGATTACAAAACCTTGTTAAAGATAGCCACCAGTCTTTCCCTTGTATAGGACCATCAGATGGTGCTTGTCAGCTTTACAAGCCCTAGTAGCAAGTCAAGAGATATCACATCAGCAGGTTCATGAGGTTGAGGCTCAAAGCATCCAAGCACAGGTTCCTTCTTTGAATTGGGTCTGGAAATGTTCTGGCACTCAGGGAGTCTGATGCCAAACTGATTCACCCCTTTAGCTCCATCCAAGATGCAAGAGGCCATGTTTTACCTTAATTAAAATGTCTGAAAAGTTTTCTGAGATAGCCTGTTAGCATGTGATAAATACTGTATGCTTTGCTGAAATTAGTTCTTTTTTCCCCCAGATAGGGATAGAGAAGACAGACCAACCAAGTTGGTAAAGACAGCTGCTGAATTATGCTTACCCAGGCAACACCGAATTAAGAAACTGATCTAAAATACAGAGTTGAGGATGTGATCTTATCAAAGATCATTTGAATCCTGTATCCAAACTTTTCCCCACCCACAATTTTGCCTGGATAAATTTTTTGCTTCCTCTCCCACCTCCCCATCCATCCATCATCCATCCATCCTACAGGCTGCCTTCAAACAGCTACTCAAGAGTTTCATACCCTGTCTGGAATCAGGAAGTAAAGGCGGAGTTGTCGTCTACATGTTGATCTTACTGTAGCTCAGAACTCCAGGCGACTTTCCTTCTTTAATTAGGAAGGAAGCTTGCCTTATCCCAAATAAAAATGCAGATTATCCAAAAATGAAGTTTGCAACAGATCTTACACACTGTGTTCTTTGACCCCTTTGCGAATTTTTTTTGTTCCAACAGCAGAATTTTAAATGATTTTTTTTTATAATTAAAGTGTAATAAGTGAAAATGGCAAGCGAATAATAAAACCTTATGGGAAAGTAGGCCATGCTGTCAGAACAGAGACAAAAGAGAGTTGCTGTAGCTTATCGAGATGTGCAAGATTATGGCTTGACTATGTATCTCTTGGCGTATGTAGTAGTATATTGTTCAATTTCATCATCTCCCTTTTTCCTCCCTCTCTCTCTCATTCTCTCCTTTGTTCTTCTCTTTTTATTAAGGTACATGATCACATCCCTAGACCGAACCCATGCCGGCTTCTACCGCTGCATTGTGCGCAATCGCATGGGAGCTCTGCTGCAAAGACAGACTGAAGTACAAGTGGCATGTAAGTGCTGATGAGCCCTATCCTCCCAACGGTTTAGGAATGCGCAAGGCATCCCTTCTATAACAAAGACAGCTACAAGTCAAAAGGGCAGCCAAGATTGTCATGTTGCCTGAATTAATGTTTGGACCACTTGTTAAAAAATGAGATAATGAGATTAGGATTTTAAAAGGCTTAAAAGGTGCAATGCACGTTATGAAGGACCTCTCCAGAGTGGAAGGAGTACTTCAAGCAAAAAGGAGAAAATTAACTAAGAGGCAAAGCTGTATGGAAAAGCATGTCACAGAATACCAAAGGAAATTATAGCTGATTAGTCAAACATGGGCTTTGATTCTGTGAGTTTGAAAATATTTTCGCAAAAGAATCGTTCCTAAAACAATGCAGGATAAAGGGATAACCTCAGTTGCAATTTTGTGTTCTCTACTTGGGGGGTGGGTGTTTGCCTTCTATTATTACATTTATGTATGTTATTATTTTATTTTATGAACTTTTTGACAGTTTAGAAATGCATTCACTTGCCCCAAGTTGCTTTGCCGAGTTAATCGTGAGGTTGCTTTGGATTTCCTTCTGACTGCAAGCAGCCCCTATATTGTCTTCTCCATCAGAGTCAGGAAATTTTGCTATTTTCAATGATAAAACATTAGGTAAGATGGCTATGGTAACTTACCAAAATTTATCCTTAGACACTAATAGAACCATCAGTCAGGATTAACAGTTGAGCAACGTTTGGATGATCCTTAATAAGCAAAGTTAAGTGAGAAATTGTTGGGGGCTAAAGAGCTCTTCAAGGGGCGTGGTGGCTCAGTGGCTAAGACGCTGAGCTTGTCGATCAGAAAGGTCAGCAATTCAGCAGTTTGAATCCCTAGCACTGCGTAACAGAGTGAGCTCCTGTTACTTGTCTCAGCTTCTGCCAACAGTTTGAAAGCACATAAAAATGCAAGTAGAAAAATAGGGACCACTTTTGGTGGGAAGGTAACAGCATTCCATCTGCCTTCGCTGTTTAGTCATGCCGGCCACATGACCACGGAAACGTCTTTGGGCAGCGCTGGCTCTTCAGCTTTGAAAGGGATATGAGCACTGCCCCCTAGAGTTGGGAATGGCTAGCACATATGTGCGAAAGGAACCTTTTCTTTTACCTAAAGAGTTCTTCAGTTGAGCCATGCAAAATAGAATTCGCACCAACAAACTGGAAGAGAAAAAAGCAGGGAAACTGAAATTAACCGAAAGGCTCTCTCTTAACAGTGTGAGTTATGAACTATATGAAAAGAACATCATCAAACCAGGACTTCTTTCACCTTTTTTCAGATCGAGATTAGAGGAACTTGCAAAGGACATCGCTCAGCCAACTGCAAAATTTTTAGATATCGGAATCATGAAAGGAAATTCTGTAGCTGTGCTCTATATATTAGAAGTCACCTTCCAGGCTTTATCACACTTTATTAATCCTCTGTCAACAATAAGCTGACCTTTGATAGTTGTGTCACATCGTAGAAACCTCAAATCACAAAAGCAGTGCCTGCTTCTTCCATGCTGAGAGATTACATTTAAATGTCCTTTTTTTTTCATTTGTTGCTTCTCTTTTTAAAGCTCTTTCAGATTGCACATCATTATTTGTAAAAATTTTCAATGGCATGTGAAATCTGATTTTTTTTTGTCTATTTTCAAGTAATAGTTTTGACCTTTTGTCCCTTAAGGTATTCTTATAAGGAAGAAAGCTCTTGGGGGGGATTTGAGGGTCATCAGAAGACCCAGAAGCTGGATGGCTAAGTGAGCATAAAAGGGCCGAAATAGCTGTGGGAGGCAGTTAGCAGATTAAGGGGTAGGTTAGTATTATAACACAGTGTTTCTCAACCTGGGCGACTTGACGATGTGGCTGGGGAATTCTAGGAGTTGAAGTCTAGACATCATCAAGTTGAGAAATGCTGTTATAACACATTTCATTAAAGTTCGTGGAAATCCAGTTTGAGAAGCTCTTTTCCTGAAACGTTAAATCCTTCAGATAGTTTTTAGCAAAAGCAAGCCATTCTCCTCCACAACGCTTTCTGGAAGGCAGGGAAAGTAAACAGCATTTATAACAATTACACCACCATTGCCTGTCGCAGGGATAAGCTGCCCATATAAATCAGATCTAGTCTTTCCAACATGCAGGCAAGAAGCCTGAAACATTAATGACCAAGCTTCAGCCGGCAGCAGAATCTGGTGATCAGACCCCTGGTACCTATGACGGGGGTCTGAGCTGGGGACACTTACGCCTTGCCACTGCAGAGTATACTGTCTGGGAAGTAAGAGGGGAGGGGTTTTATCTGGGATAAGAAGCAATTGGGAGGACAATGCTTCAGAACACAAGAATATGTATAAGTCTTAACACAGCCTTCCCCAATCTAGTACAGGTAGTCCTTGATTTACGACCACAATCGAGCCCAAAATTTCTGTTACTAAGCAAGACATTGTTTAAGTGAGTTTTGCCCCATTTTACGACGTTTCTCGCCACAGTTGTTCAGCAAATCCCTGCAGTTGTTAAGTTAGTAACATGGTTAAGTGAATCTGCCTTCCCCGTTCACTTTGCTTTTTCAGAAGGCCGCAAAAGGGGGATCACATGACCACAGGACACTGCAACCATCATAAATATGAAACAATTGCCAAGCACCTGAATTTTGATTGTGTGCCCATGGGTATTGCTACAACAGTCCTAAGTGTGAAAAGCAGTCATAAGTGGCACTTTTTTGAGTGTCGTTATAACTTTCAATAGTCACTAAGCGAATCATTGTAAGTCGAGGACTGCCTGTAACCTGAGTTTATGTTGTTAACAATTCAAAATCCTGAGTCAGAATTCCAGTAATAGGAGTCCCTTCAAAAGTACCAGGAAGATTCTGATTCAGAAAAAAAAAATCAGAACTAATGTATGGGGAATTAACATTCATTGATACACTTCAAAATAAAGAAGATAAAGAACCAAGGCTGCTGTCTTCTGACAATGCATTCCTCTTATCATAGTGAGTTGCTGCTGCACTGTTATGCTACATGGATAGGGGATAGCAGAATCAATTTCCCTACTGTACAGTGGTGGGTTCCGGATCATGTTACAACCAGTATGGTGCAATGGGGCCCAGTGTCCACCACATGAACGTGTGCAATGCGCGCATGCATACTTACCGCCTGCGATGCTCCGCGACGCTCAAGTTGCTCGGCGGAACATCACACAGGTGCCGTACGCTCTGTGCATGTGCGCAGAAGCCCCGAAGAGCTCAAATACAGGTAAGGACGGCGGCCAGGTGGGCCCTGCGGAGCACTGTACCGGAACAGTACCCGGTGCCCCCGGCAGGCACCGGTACACCCGTACTAGGGTGTACTGGTCGTAACCCACCACTGCTACTGTGGCATTTACTCTCCTTTGTATCCTCAGTTATTTGCATCTATAAGAAGCTGATTAAAGAAAAGACTACTATCTCTCCGGTGCGTATGGTTTTGTTGTTTAAGGGCTGTTCTGCCACAGCTTCAAGTAATGAAGTTGAATGTGTGCAAAGCCCTGAAGTTTATCTCTCCAAAGATATCTCCTTAACTTCTCTCCTGATGTTCCTTATTAGATGTAGCCCTAAATTGGGAATCACCCTAAGTGGACTTGGTGCTTCATCAGCGTTCTCCAAATGAAGATCTATGAGCCAATGATCTCTAGTGCAAAAGAAAATTAAAATAAAGAGAGCCAGTAGTAAAGTGTTGGCTGGGGTTGGCGGGGAAAGGGACATCTTGTGGCTTTTAGTGTGGAAACGTTCTGCAAAGACTCAAGATTTAGTGTGCCAATTTTCAGGACTCTCTGCCTTTCTGTCAAGGAGAAAGATATTTTTCCTTCTCCTGCAATTGGGAAAAGGAAATAATTGCTGTCAAAGATTGGGAAAAAGCAGATCTATGGGCATCTCCTAACCTTACATTCATAAATCAGTTTCCACAAACTGGGGGAAAAGGTTCCAAACGTTAAAAACAGCCTTAAGAAACCAGTATTCCTGGGGCCTCAGCCAGGCACAAAGTCTGAGGGGTTGCTTTCACTTCCACATTTCACCCTTAGCCTGGACCAGGGGTCAGCAGCCTTAAACACTCAAAGAGCCACAAAGGTCCTAATGGAAACACACACATCCCATTCAATTCTGGAGCCAACCAGAAGTCCGCTTCCCCCACCACAGAGTCTCTTCCTAGCATGGCATCCTTTTTCCTCTACCTGTCCTAACCGAAAGTCCTATCAATTGTGGAGCTGACCGGTGACAGCGAGCCGCAGCAGAGACACATGCAGCTCCAGAGCCGCAGGTTGCTGGCCTGGGCCCAGCTCTTACAGAGCCTGCCTTAAAATCCCGCTCTCCTTTCCTGATCCAATTTTGCCATTTCCACCACCCCAAAGCAGCCCCCTTCTCCAAAAGTTGATGGCAAATCAGGCAGCTAATAGGAAATTAATCAGGCAGCTGTGGTGTTGCTAATGGCCACGTCATTAAAAAGAGATTCTTTACACGTTTTTAATTACAGCAATTAAATCAAGTCAATAAAATGTCTCTCCCCCCCCCCCCATCCCAACCTCCGTTTTGTCATTAGTACTATTATTAAAGGTGCTATAAATTTCCTACCCACAAACAGCTGCGGCCATGAGGGGGCCCTGACCTCCATCCCTTCAGCGACAAGGTTGCCAGTTACATTGTGTGAAGAGAAGAAAGGCACCCCGCTGTAGGTACCCATGTCGGAAAACTATTTGGCCATTTTTAGGGGTGAGCGAGAGTGAACATACAAGAAGCACGATTCACAACAAATGTCTACCAGCAGTAGAGGAGAATGCTCTGAATGTAGAAGAACAAAGCTTTGTTTTGCTGGGTCTGTCTGTAAAAGAGAGTTTGTTAACCATAGGTCAATGCCAGCGTAAAGTGTGTGAAACATTCATTTGTGTGGCTTTTGCTCTAAAGAATCTGGAGAGGCATCTTAATAACTGCGTTTTAAAGAAGTTTGTTCCCTCACTGCAGCTTTTTGGCCACTTCTTGCGATACGATTCTTTTTTCCCCAAGAAGCTATAGAAGGCATGTTTTATTGTGTCAGCTGTGAAGGGTGCTCATTCACATATATAAATTGCCACCTTTCAAAGAACACACATGCAGTGACTAAGAATGGTCCTGCCATATTACTGCCATATATTTTTCAAGGAGAAAACTGTCATTTATATGGATACCCTTTCATACCTTGTACAAGACATGGATGTTTTGGCACTTAGCAGTCCATTGCCCCCATCAAAGCACTACACAAAGCCACTTGCCATATAAAGAAAAGGCTGAGCGATCTGTCGGGGTTCCAAGGGTAGGAATGTCCTGGGTCTTTGGGTTTTGTTAGCTGTGAAAAATTGGAACTTCAGGTTTTCTAGCCACTTTTGTCCCTTTCCTAAAAGAACATACAAAGGGCACCTTCTGGGGTATTCTTGCCTGGAATGGGGTGGGTAATTGGCAGCCCAGAAACTGCATGCAGCCCTAAGAGAAATATTATGGTGCCTCCCAATGCATCTTTTTTTTAACAATTCAAATGTAGTTGAATTAAGCTTTTGAACAAAGTTTTGCATCTATTTTATCTTACCTTTTATATATATATATATATATTGATGTGTGTGTGTGTGTGTGTGTGTGTGTATGTGTGTGTGTGTGTGTGTGTGTGTTCCAGCATAACTCTGGAACGCCTCAAGCAATTTCAACCAAACTTGGTACACAAATAACTTACTCTCTGGAAAGAATTATTGACCGTGTAAGACACCCCTAAAACCCCTCAGGGTGTGTGTTCTGTTAAGATACAGCCTGTTGTGCCTTAAAATGGCTTCTACTGTACTGCCATAAAATGACTTCTACTGTGCAGCGCAGTGGAGGTGACATGGTGACGGCTGCAGAGTACAC